CCCTCTTATAAGCTGATCACCAAACCAGGCAAAGCCCTCCAATAAGCCAAAAACCAATGGGCGGTTGCTCCCTTCTCCTTTCAGAATGGGGTGTGTTCTGCTGCTGAGAAAGTAAAGAGGCAAAACTTTTGCAGTGCAGTGAATCTGCAACATTGAGATACCACATCTGCTGCCTCAAAACCATGTTTGTAGCAATGAGAAAGAAAGCCTGCCCCTCTTGGGTGGAAATTCAGTAAATATGGAGGTGGTAGTTAAAGGAAGGTAGTGAGGTTAGGATTGCATGCTGGGAAGGCAGAAAAAGAACCGAATCACTGAAGCTTTGAGACAGAAGTGGAAAGAAGAACGGGGAGCTTGGGCCATGCTGGAAGAAAAGGGGAGCGATCCCTGAATTAGACCTGCTAATATTCTAGTCAAGGGATAGTGTAAAAGCTGAAACTATATTCACTGGTCACCTCAGACTAAATGGCTTTGGTGTGTAATAGTATCTTCTACCTTGTTTGTACCATGTAGAACTCTGTAATTTGTACCTTGCCCTCCCTCCCTGCCTCTGCCTGCTGCCAGTGGCACCTCCATGGGTGAGGCAGGTGGTGGGGCAGGATTGGTGCCATACCACTGCCCCTGTGCACTCAGCCCTCGCCGTCCCACCTCAGTCTCCAGCGAGCCTGTCACCCGCTGCCCCACCCACGAGGGCCCCATCGAATAGGAAGGGTGGGGAGCCCATATCCCCAAGAGGCAGCCAGGACTCTCTGCCCCACCCCACCTGAGCCCAGCCCTGGAGCTGCCCCACACAGCCCGAAAGGGTCGGCAAGCCTCCTCTAGAGGATCAGCCCCTGGCACCTGCCCTGATCCCACCCCCTCCACCAGAGACCCCTGGATCCTCCCAGCCCCATTCAGGCTCCCCTAGGCACCTCCCCAAAATGAACAATGTAGAGCTGGCCATGCCCCCACATTCCCCCCCCCCCAGGGCAACCAGAATGCTGGGGCTTATTTTGGCGCACACTTAAAAATCATGTTAGGGATTATTATCTGGTTGGGTCTTATTTTGGGGGGAAAAATGGTAGTAACACTGTTATAATGTGAATCTGGCTTCCCCATTGACTGCTTGTCGGAAGATCGCAAAAGGTGATGATGACCATGGAACACTGCAACTGTCATAAACAGGAGACAGTTGGCAAGTGCCTGAATTTCAGTCATGTGACCATGGAGATGCTGAAACAGTCTTAAGTGTGAAAAAAAGGTCATAAGTCACTTTTTTTAGTGCCGTTTTAACTTTGAATGGTAACCAAATAAACTATTGTAAATTGAGGACTACCTGTAATGGAAATTGCAGGGACTAATCCAAGCAGTTGTCTGGAATCAACACTGACTTTAAGCAACAAACGAGAGAGGGAGGGAGGGAGGGAGGGAGGGAGGGAGAGAGGGAGAGAATTCCTATTCCCAGAAGCTTAGTTTCATAGGCAGCCAAGAAAAGTCTTAATGTATACAATTTATATTATCCATACTCTGTGTATATTCTAAAAAGCATTTCTTACTTCTATCTTACAAGTGCTATTTGTATGTGAATTATAACTATGTTTGCCCAATTTGAATAACTGGAGAAAGGGGCTATATAGAATAAACGTGATGACTTGGTTATCCAGAATCCTGTGGACCAGTTGAATAATATACATGAGGTTTCTCTCTCTCTCTCTCTCTCTCTCTCTCTCTCTCTCTCTCTCTCTCTCTCTCTCTCTCTCTCTCTCTCCCTCTCTCTCTCCCTCCCTCCGTCTCCCACTCCCTCTCCCTCCCTCTTTGTCTCTCTGTCTCTGTCTCTCTCTGTATTATCTTGTAATTCAAATATGAGTCATACATTAACTTGGATAAATTATATCAAGATTATAATGGCCTTTTTTCTACCGTGCATCAGGACTTTTCTGGAAATAATGATTTATCATCTCTGGAAGCAGAATTATTATTCCCTTTATATTTCTAAACATTTCTCATATTCCGTCTCAATAAAGAGCATAATTTGATGAGAACTGAACATTTCTCATATTTTGTCTCAGTAAAGAACATAATTTTACAAGGACTGCTGCCTCTGAATAAACTCCCAAAACTGAGCACTTATATTAACAATTTTAAGTTACACTTATACAAAAGTATGCTATTAGCAAGAAAAAAATGATTCTGCATTACTTTTCCCACTCCAAATCTTCTTTCCTCTAGATAATAATGAATTTTAACTCTTGGGCAGTCTTACAGAAAGGCCTAATGCCATCAACCTATACTTAGATATACAATAGAGAAATTGCTAAACACAGTGATACTCACTGGATTAAAACCAGAAGGAAGGACAGCAGGTAGCTCCCTATGATAGGATTTAAAATCAACTTACCCTAAAAGACTCTATGTGTTCTTTAGAATAGCTGTGGGTTATGAAATTTATTCTCCAAACACAGCAGATGGGTAATATTGTTTTAAATTACTGCTGGCTAAAAGAAGTCTGTTTAGCAATATTTTTCAACAATCCACAATAAATATTTAAAGACAGTCTTTCTATATTGTTTGTCTCTAATATCTGGTGGGATATTTCTGTAATCTATCAGATTTACAGTGTTGAAACCAGTCGTCATGTCATTCAACTTGCGGTATAAAATTGGCAGTATGAAAATGTCACCTATCCTATGATATAATTTATCCTTTCTAGAATGACAGGCCCAAAACTGGCATGTTTCAATCTTTACTCTAAAACTGTTCCTTAATATTAATTAGCCTTCATGGATTTTAAATGCACTAATATTGACAAATGAGAGTGGATTCCTGAGGCACTGAGCAGAGATTGGATTAAATTATAGCTCAGATCTCATCCAACTTTTACAGTGTTATAAATGTAAGCCGGAAAGAAATCCTATATACTTTAATATCATATGTTACTTAAAAATAAAGGTTAGTATAGCATATATGTTCTGAACTAAAGCCCACTTCTTCACTTACAGGGAGCACAAAGTCTAGTCATACAAAGAGCTGAGACTGAAGACTAGGACTATGAAACACAGTGGATGCTAAACAGGCCAGTGCAAGGAAACAAAAATCCATTTATAGCGGAAGCTATTATCTCAGATAGTATGCAATAATGACAATAAACCTATTTTCTGAAAAAACTAAATTTGCCCAGTTACCAGGCCCAATATTCAGAATTAGATTGATTAGTGACTTTCACAGAAGGAAAAAGGATTGCTGAAACAGACCAAAGCAGAACCCTCTTAAATTCCTCAGATGGATATCTAGGCAAATAGTGCTTCTTTTTGTCTTTAGCTATTTATGGCCACCATTTCAAAATCTCTGTTTTTTCTAGCAAGCTTGACCACTTAGAGTAGTCACAACTGTTAGATCTTTGCCTGACCCATCCTAGTTATTTGAAGCAGATTGTGGTCTCACACAATCACCTCCAGTTCCACACAATAGCAAAGATCTTACAGTGCCCAATAGCTTCTTGGTAAGCAGGATCTGGGTATGGTTACTCTTCATTTCTCTTGTTGGAAAAGAGGAAAAAGATTAAAAAACAGAGCTCTAGTCTTTTAAAACTTACGTCAAGTCTACATAGTTCAGTATCTGAATCTGGTGAGTCTTGAAATAATATTTTTTTTTTGTCTATTTAAACAGGAGCACATTCAGCTCTTTATAGCTCCCCCTCAATAAACTGAGCTGTTGTTCTAATTTTAAAAACAAATTTCCTGAAGACTCAATGTAGTCTCTCCAATAGGAGTTCAAGATTTTTGGATGCTTTAAAAAGCCCAAAGGAATTTTTAAGAGGGTGAGTAATCAACATTTGAAATGATCAAATATTCAAAAATCAAGGTGGCAGACTAATCCTAGGGTACAATATCAATTATTATTTTAATTCTCCCCACATATTTTGCAGTGGATTTCAATAATATTTCAATAAAAAAGACAACAGAGTAAAATGAATCAAAATTATTTGACTTAAAATGTGGCTCTAAAAAATAAAATAGGACAGGTGACAGTATTAAAATAAGCCTTTATGCTTCTGGGCCTTTCAACATTTTAAAATAAACTTAGTTTGACTTGTATCCAATAAAACAGATAATGTGATTAATTTCCAGCTCAAGAAGAGCCTGAGGGGGGGGGGGGGCGGTGTGTGTGTGTGTGTGTGTGTGGTAGTGACGGTGAATGGCAAGTTTTATTAGCAATTTATTTCTAATTCAATCAGCAAATGTTGGTTTTTACCCAGGATATAGAATCTCGATCCTCAGTTTGAACACAGGTTTGCCTGGCATAAGACTCGTGGGATTTCTTTCGACCAAACAGACCCTTCGCTGTTTCGCTTAAAAGTCTTTCGTACCAGCCTCAGGCCCACTGAGTTCAGGGGGTGGAAAAGAACCCAGACGATAACCCCCCCCCCAACTGAAGCAGCGTCGCCCGGGATGTCGCCAGATCGCCCAAACTGTAGAAATGGGTCTCGCGGCTTACTCGGAGGTTGTCCCTTTTTGCTTAAAGGGACTTCCTCCGCTTCTGCGCTCAGAAGTGGCTCGGCTGCTATTTAGGATAGGGATGTAAATATACAGACTAGGCAGGTTGAAGGGAATGAATTTAAATAGCTGGAAGCAAAGAGCGACAGGCAGGCTTCTCAGCTGAATTTTAAAAAAAAAAAAAAAAGCGACGGAGCGGGAACAGGCAGGCGAAGGAACAGTCGAGACCCCTTTTTACATCCTAACTAATCTGCTGCTTCGTTCTTGTGAAAACGGCGAAACAAACAAATCACACATAAACAGCATCCTTGGCCCTGGGAGATCCCGATTCTTCCCCTTTTGACATCCGGGTTGTATTAGGAGAGATCAAGAGCCTGGAGAAGAAGGCTTTGCCTGAAAAGAGTCCGGTCAGATTACAGTACTCTGGGCAGCATTCGCGTCTGGACAGGATTGACAGCCGATGTGTGCGCGTCTGCGTGGGTGTTCACCGGGGGGGGGGGGGAAGAGCTTCAACACACATTTTGAAGGCATCCTTCGTGTTTTTAATATACCGCGCCGCGGCCAGAAGGGAATCTGTGAAATCAAACTCATTCTCTCGGGCTCGCTTTCTTAATTAAACTCCCGGAGCTGAGAGGGAGGACAGCTTTAATTTGAAACGAGCCAGCCCACCTCTGCCAGATTAAAAACTTGCCATGACTGGCACCAGTCTTCAATATTCACTGGAGGAAAACAGAATCTCCGGAAGTCAGTCAATTTGACTGAAAGACTCAGTTCCATCTCCAAGACGTGTTACAGTTTGCAGGCGCAAGCGACAAGGCAACAGCAGCAGAGAGAATGTCTAACTTTACTTGCTGGACGAAACTCGGGTTGGAGCAAGGTCCTGAGCGCCTTTGAGTTGGGGGAAGGAGTGCGCAGGGTGGGGAGGGAAGCGATTTCTTTCAGTGTTTTGAGTTCTTGAAAGTTCCTTCCGAATAAAACACGGCTGAATATTCCTGCTGAATGTAGGGATTATAGCAAAGTATTTGTGCTCCTGGATTTCATGATCTTTGACGGAAGGGAGAGCTTGTTATTTGTTATGGCCGGATGTGTTATTTGTGGATAAATGTCACTTGAGTATAAAGAAAAGAAGTACCGTAGGTAGTGTCACTTTTAATGGCTCCTGGCATGCATGCTAGCTCAGGTGTTCATGATGAGTCAGAGTATCTTATCCAGCTATTTCTAAGTACATTTTTTGCAGCAAGATTGATTTCAGTGACTCCAGATCAGCTCTGTTTTCAGAATTTAAACCTGTCTCCACTTGTACTTATTCATGGCACATTTATGCCCTGATAATGATTATCTTTCCCTTTGATTCAATGGTTTTGCATTTATGTAGTCTCTAAAATGGGTTTACAATATTATTGTATCAGTAAAAGCCTTCCCCCCCACTGTATCCCGATCCCATCCAATAAGAGCCTCAATGTTATAAATATGGTAAACTATGCCATGCCATTCATGACTTTGACAGTAAGTTAGATGGCTCAGTAGAGACCAGGAAGAGAAATGATAGAGGTAGGAATCAATGAGGATAGCAAATATTATGTCAACTCTGTTGTGGGTGGGGTTATTGTTTTTTTTTACTAAATAAATATGGGTAGATATCACTTTAAATTTAAAGTGCTCTTGTGTGAAAATTTAATGGCAGCTATTTCTATGGAAATGAACATTCTTTGAGGACTTTATAATGGAATACTTTAACAAACTAACAATAGATTTATGAGACTATATAAATTAAATTAGCTATTAATTAATCTTTCATTTATTATTTATATTTTGTCTATTTTTTAAAATGGGGATATTTTTATTTCCTTCTCCCTTTGTTTTTATAGAAGCATCTCATAATAATTTTGTATATGTTTTTATCATGTTTAGCTACCCAGTAGCATGTATTTGAGGTGGGCTGCCTTATAAATCTATAAATAAATAAAATCTAAGATACAATACTCTGAGAGAAAGTAACCAACTCAAAATCATCCATTGCTGATGCTTAGTGGAGATATGAATGTTCAACTCTCTGAGAGATCAAGGCTAATATTATAAACTAACCACAGGGTTATTTGCCTCATTTGTATTTTGGAAGCCAATAAATTATTAGTTTGGATTTTGATTAAAAATGCTTATGATTAAACTATCAGAATAAGATGGGCAAGAACTGAATTTAGATTTCCCACTAAGTTTTGGACTTATGACATCTAAAACTCAGTTATTTTATCTCAGCTAGATCAACTGGGCTAGAGTTGTTATGGAAATAAAGGTGTAATAGAAACCTTTTTGCCATGTTTCAACTATGAGGAGGGCATAACTGTAATAAATAAATATCCTTGCTGTTGATTTGCAATACACTGCATTTGTCTGAAAGAAAGGCTAGTTTTTCATCAAATAAATTATTTTTTAAAATTATTTTTCAAATGGACCAGAAGCATTATCGATTGTCTGAAAATATTGAAAGCAGATAATTCTTTTCCTGATTAATCTTAGTTTTTTTTTTTTTTTTACATCCAGAGATATTTATTTTGCAAATATAACCTGCATTGGTGTGATCCTGGCGTGGTTCCAGAGCCATCCACCCAACCTTCGCAGAGGTGCCGTGGCTCTGAGGAATGATCCTGTACTAAGGCTACCCTCCTGCTCTCGATTTTAAATGTCAATGTACGTGATCTCATTTTCTTAAAATATACGAAGCCAGTTCTACTAAAATGGCGGAGATAGCCGTTTCCATGAAGTGGTATGATGAGCCTTAACGAGTCTAGGAGACGATTCAATCTTCTTCAGAGCGGGAAAAACAGCCGTCAGCCTACGCCGCGGAACCGCCTTCCCTCTTCGCCCTGTTGGCAAGAATTGCAGAGCAAGGGACGAAGGGATTTCTGCAAAAGACCCGCTTCTGCTTCTCCCTTCCGCCCCCGTTCCTTGTAGCAGGAAATCCATACTGGGATTTTTGACCCGTGGAAGGTCATTCCTCGATTTCCCCGACTGTATTTCTGCAGGAAACAGAATAGGTATGAATTACAGTAAGAGCATCGTGATCTGGGGACGGTGCATGTCTTTGCTTGAAAAATTAAACCATGATGCAGTACATTAGTGCCCCACAGGGCGAGATTTTGGATGGTCCTGGAAAAAAAAAAGGCTATTGTGTGTTTCCCACATGCTTTCCTTGCTACTCTCTGAAAGCCAGAGATCGATTCAAGGAACAGAACATGCCTCATCTGAAGAGGCGAAGCATATACTGCCGCTGTTAACTTGCAAACAATACAAAATTACTTCAAGACAGAACCCATCCGTTATACAATAAATTCCAGACATAAAGCTCGCTCCTTCCTTCCTTCCTTCCTTCCTTCCTTCCTTCCTTCCTTCCTTCCTTCCTTCCCTGTTTTGTTTTTTCAAATAACTCAAGGCAGCAAACATATCCAATGTACCTTTCTTCTTCTTTTTCCCCCAAAACAACAGGGCTAGGCTGAGAGAGAGTGACTGGCCAAAACCATCCAGTTGGCTTTTGGAAGATTACTCTTCTTCTCTCTATCCTTTATATAATACTACTACTATTGTTAAATCTGCACATCTAGCAAAATTTAAGGATACTATTTTAAAACATTTATTTCACTGCTCTCTGTTCTCTAGTTCTTGCAGATGACACATGCGTTATGATTTGGATCACTTTTGTGAATAGTGATTTCTGCAAAAGAGTCAGTAATGCAGAAAAGAGGGAGATTTATATTCTGGATTCTTTCATAGCATTTTTTTTATTTCCTTTCCTTCCTCTGCTACCTCTCTTGGTCATCCTCTTTATGAGGAAACCAGAATCAAGTTGTAATAAACAAAAGAGATACAAATCAAGAATCTATTACAATCCAGATGAAATAAATTGTGTCTAACAGACTAATGTAATGAACATGTAATCAAAACAAAATTGCATTGAGTTGACTCCCTGATGTAGAATGGTTATAGAATCATCACACTTCACTGAACTCAAGGGAGATAAAATAAATTTTCCTTCAAGTCAACCTTATTCACACATTGGTAAAGGCTTCTCAGCGAGGACTTGGAAATGGCTTGGCAATATCATTTCCCCCTCCAGCCTAGTCTACAATTCTGAGATTTCCTTGTAGTCTTCTATCCAAGTACTAATCACGCCTACTTATATTTTCAGTTAAGGCTGACTAGATGTTACCTACTTGGATTCAATATTATTCTGGATAAATATATTTGGGATTGGATTTGACAATAGGAAGTCTTTACAATATTAGACACACTCCTCTTTGGGCACAGATGACAGTCAGTCTTAGCAGAATAAACCAGTTTTAGCTTTCTATGCTAATGAAAGCAAGTAATAGCTCCCTCCCCCGTTTTTCCTTTCCCAGAAAGAGATATTCTATGCTTTCAGTGTCAGACTAAACAAATAATTAATAATCTGGAATAAGGTTAATTTTCATTTCTATACTAACAAGGTTTTCATTTGTTTTTTTAGAAGCATCATTCAGATGCTTTAGGAACTGAATGCTTTTTCAGGCTGAACATTTTGGTTGGTCATTAATTTAATCCCTTTTCCTCAGCCTGCAAATTTCATTTATGGTTTTAGTATAAACTTGAACAGTTGCAATCATGGACTATGAATCACCAAGTTTCAAATGCTATTTTGAAAGAAAAATGAAAAAGCAAGTCCATAATACCCCTGAGGATCATCTTAAGGTAAGCTTTTTATCATGCTGATATGCTGCTTCGATGATAATGATGTGAAATCAGCTTCTCCCAATGCATTTGTATCTATATTTTTTCAGAGTGTGTTTTGCCTTTTTATTTCTATACAATATTAGATTTATAGTATTTGCCCCATAATCACAACAAGGTTTATTTGGTTTTGGGTTTAAGACATTATTTGAACCCAAATACTGTGTTTACAAAACTTAGTTCACGGCTTTGAGTCAGGATACTATAATTTGTCTATAGAACCATATTTAGAAGTAGTGGCTTTGCATGTTAATTGAATTCTTCCCCTTTGATATTGGCAGTATCTTCAACACCAGTTGAGATAGAAAGCATGTATTCTTGGAGAGAAGTAACTTTATATTTTTATATGCACTTCTGTATTACTTATTTTGCAGAGCGAATATACAAAGAATTCATTCTATAGGTAGAATATTTGCTGACAAATTTATTTCTTGCATTCTTTCATATTTATTGTATGGACATTCTTTTATAAATAGAATATAATAGATACTATAACAATGTTCCTTTCTCACAATTATAATTCATATTCACCTTCCATCTTAAAAACTCAGCTCACTGGAGAAGGTTCATTTAATTATCCCTATGAAGGCGAGCTTCAATGGATCCAGAATGTGGCCACACTAGCAATGATGGGTTGCCTCAGTGTGCACACATGACACCTCATTTGTATATTTTAAATACAACATTAAATTTAGAGAATAGTAAATTATGACACAACATCAAATACCTGAAGGTACAATACAGCTGCTTCAATTTATGAACAAGTAGCCTCATATTTGTGCAGTGCTGCTAGAGAAAAGGCCTTCTCTCAGGTATCTTCTCTTGTGGAACAGAATTAAGGTGATAAATTACACTTGGTCTCTAATGAAAAAAGCTGACATTTCAGATAAACTAACCCAAACTTAAGGACCTTTTATTCTAAACTTCTATATTTAGTCTTTAAGTTGGTAGCAGATTGAAACTGATAATTGTACTCAAAGACTACCTGAGCAGCTGCAGCCTTTAAAAGATAATCATACAAATTAATAAAATGACTTAAAATAATTTGTAAATGCTCTTTGGTTATTCATGTGCACTGACAGCAGCAATACAATTATTATTCACAGTGGAGCTTTTCTGTGCAACTAGTGGTTATTTGGTGTGAAATGGAAGATGTCTATACTTCAACATTTAATCAAGCTCCATTTTGATGCTGTTACTCTAGATTACATACAAGTTCTGTATGTTATCCTCCATCCCGATGCTTAAAGCTTGCTCCATCAGAAATAAAAATAAATAACAAACATGACCGCAGACTGACATGAGCTTCAGCTTAAAATGCTATCCATGGATGATAGAACCACAAAAGTAAATAAATCTTCAGTACCTAATTGAAAGGAAGAAGAAAGCTGTTTGTATAAATAGAGCTTCAGACAGAGGAAAAACAGAACCTAATGACATGAGGCAACTGGCGGTCCATAGGCACATGTGCAGCTACAGGATGTCTGGGTGCGCCGGACCACTTGCTCAGCCAGCTGGGATGGGCTCCGCCTGTTCAAAGGGAGCAGAGCAGCCCTGGTTTTCCTCACATATTGAAAGCACTGTCATAAGACCCTACAATGGCTTTTCCATCAGGGACTGAGGTTCCATGAATAACATTCGCTCAAATGTTGGCATTGAGGGCATGTTTGGACAAAATTGCTATTCCTAGGCTTGATTTCTCAAGGTTTCCATGACGCCTCTGTGCAACAAAGATGTTTTTGGAAAAATGTCTATCAGAAAGTAAGATTTCAGCTCTTACTGAAGTCCACTGGCCCAAGAATGAACTATTAATGCGTCCTACAAGAAAGCTTACTATTCAGCAAATAAGCAAGAATCTGCCTCCACTGAGTTTACTTTTGTTTTTAGAACAGAAGAAGGACATATCCTTACACTAAAATTTTTCAAATAAAGGGCTTAATCATATATAGCACTAAATCATAGTGGTCTTTTCATATATAAACTAAGCTAAAAATTAATAAGCCACATTCTTGCTTTATACAATCCTTCAAATTATATTCCTACAATATGGAAAACATTGTTTAGCTGCTTTGCAGATTCCAAAGCTTAATTTTTAAGTGTGATTTTTTTTATTCCAGCTGTTCTAAAGATGTTCATATATGCTGAATGTTTTCCCTTTTCAGTTTCATCAGCACAGTAGGGGGAGGAAGCTAAAGTTGCTTTGGAGGACTCAGAGGATATATAAGATAGAAACAGCCTCACTATCATGTTTTCCTCAATCTGGACATCCTCCAAATGTAGATATTTCAGTTCCCCAAGTGACATGCCTTTTAGTAAGAGTTCAGATATTTGTATGAGAAATCATGGAATCAATAAACTGAAAAGGATACAAAAATAATTTGGCCCAATCATAAAGACCAAATTTACAGGAAATTTTCTATTTCGTTACAATGGGAATTAGATTCCTTTATGCTTGACAAGCAAAAAGAAGAGTAATTAAAAACATCAGGAACTGAGCTCAATTTTCAAAGAGCTCAAGATTATTATTTAATTATAGAAGGATATTGAGTTGGTTTTGTTCTAATGACATTTAATTTGTACAGATGCCATTTGTAGTCTATTTATTTTGACTCAGGAATTGAATAACAGAATCTGAATAATCACCAGATCTTTTTCGGTATTATGTCACTGCATTTTTATAGTTATGGCTATTTATATATATATATTAAAATTTATAAGGCACCCATTTCAAACAAGGGAGAATGTTTTAGGTGGCAGGCATTACAGCAGAAAAGGCACAGTTTCTAGTTCCTGCTAGCTGTCATTCCTAAGCAAATGGGACCTGGAGCATGACTGCCTGGATCTGACTGGTAGAAACAACTGGGAATAGACAATCCCAAGCCATGAAGAACTTTCATTGCGGATTAATATTTGTTTATTTAGCATATTTATACAGCTAAATATACATGAGCTGCCCGTCTCACAAAGATGGGATGCTGGGTAATATACAAACATAACAATGATTAAAAATTACCCAACAATAAAAAGGCAAACATACATACACATATAAAAATTAAAATTGGGTTCTAAGAAAGCGATAATAGCAATTTAGAAACAAATTACATCTACAATTTAATTGCATCTAATAGATTTTTCATTTAATACCAGGATGATGTTATACACCTTTTGTTCAATATGTCTTTTTAGATGTATGCAATGCAGGTAAAAAAGAGTTGGACCTTTAATTGCACAAACATGGCCACTTTCCTGATGTTGCATCTTGTCACTGAAGTAAGTGCAAGAACTGAGAAGATCATTAATAATTTATTTCTCATTAAAAACAAAATCAAAAGCATTTTTCATAAACATGAAGAAAAGTTAAAGCAATTTTTGTTATAGCATTAAACATATGATTAAACAGACTTAATGGGCCATAAAGAATATGCTAAATAGTCTTGAATATAGTTGTTCTGACCAGGTCTCATAGCCATAGGCAGATGCAGGCACCAATGAAGTCTTTTATTGCATCGCTAAACCATGACAGACGGCCATCCAGGGGTGTTAGTAAATCTCCACTCCACTTTTCCCCACAAAACAACTACCCACAGTCAATGAAACCCAGTCCCACCAGCTGGGTTCATTAGTCACCAGAACCAATCCCCCAAACAAGAAAGTCTAAGTCCACAAACCAGGTGCAGAATTTGCCAACAAGGTTCATAAACTATAATCCAGAGTCAGAGTCTGCAAAGCAAAGTATGCAAATTGAAAGGCTGAAACATAAGTCAAAGTCCACAAGTCAAGGTATTCAGTAGTCAGGGGAGAGCATGCTGATACAAATTATTGTTCCCAACAAACATACCCTCCCCCAGCCTCTGACCCCAGGTGTTCCTTGTAAGGGGGAATGGAGCAGCCTCCTTGCAAGCAGTCTCACCGATCTCCTCTGAGCTTCACTCAGCTTCACTCTCTGTGCCCATGGATCAGGTGGAGAAGACAGCTATTCTTCATCAGAGAGGAACTCTTGTCTCTCATCACCCCTGCCCGTCTGCAGACGATTCTCCCCTGCATTTGTGAAATAAAGTGGCTCCCTGCCTGGTCGACCACCTCCCTCAATATTGGAGAGCCCCGGGACAGCATCGTCTTCAGTCCCTGACCTCTCCATATGTTCCAGGGGAAATGTGTCATCCCCATCAGATGGTTCTGATTTCTCCTCCTCCTCCAAACTGGGATCCGACATCCATTTTTTTTATAAATCTTTCAAACTTTTATTTTTTTATCGTGACTCCCACATATAGAAACATACTTAATTTAATAGTACATATATGAGAAGTCTGATTGTATAGATTGACCTGATATGGGTAAGTTTCCTATCTACTTATGAAGAGGTATGTGATTTTCAGTAATGATTTGCATTGGTGACAAACTGATGCAATGACAAATTCACTGTCTGTACATTTGATTCATATGAGAGCTAAAAAGAGCTTCAAGATGGTTGTTACTGGTCTCAAAATTACCTGATGTCTGAGTACTGTATTGTGTAAGTAAATCAATTTCTGTTATAGGACAGAATGGTTCAGGATTCTGAAAACATCTGCAGAAACAATTAAAATTTGTAAACCCGAAGTGAAAGGCAGAATGCCAGATGGCAACCAACCAATCACAGATCAAATAAATGCTACAAAGGAACAAGGGAGAATCCTAAAGGGAGAGCCATATTTCATGCTATGGTTGCCCAGATCCATTTTGATTCTGCAGAATGATTTGTAGCTATATTTAACCAAGAAAACTCATCAATCCCGTGCAAAGCCATTTTAGATGCTACTTAGCCACCTCTGCATTTTTCTTGTCTCTTTTCATAATCTCTGTGTAATCCAGAAACAGCCATAGAAAGAGACAAAATTCTGTTTAATTGCTTCCCTATAGTTTGACAGTTCAGTTTCAGTGGTTAATCTATATTTAAGTAAGCTTACTTGTCAAAGATAGCATAATTGTTTGACTGTATTCATTTCCCAGCCATATATCATCCCCCTCAAAATTAAATATTTCCAACAGACTCAGAGATGGCAATTTCCCTTCATTTACTATAGGACAATACAACCAAAGTCAGTGGAACTATTTTAAATTGAACAATTTGAGTTTCATAAAATTGCTTTATTAATAATTGTATTATTAAATTAAAAAGAATATGCCATATTGATTTCATTTGTTCTTTTCTCAACATTTAATTTTATATTGCTAAAAAAGGCAGGTAGCTTTCCTTAAGGCTTTCCTTGAGGCTTGAAAAAGAATAATTGTGGTGTATGTATGTATCTGTACACACCCACCCACCCACCCACCCACACACATATATATATATATGTAATCAACATCACCTTAGCCATTGTCTACCTACTGCATCCAAGGCCTCTTCCACATGTTTCCAACCAATATGGTTTCAAGAACAACCCCACCTATGTCTGAAGAGGGGAGTGAAAGAGAAGAGGTGGGTGGGTAGAGGGGTCATTGAATGGGTGGGGAGAAGTCGCTGAGTGGGGAGTAGTCTGGATGAAGAGGCCCTGAGATGTACGGGTGTGGGGCACATGGGGTAGCTCCACACACCCCTGCCACCTGCCTTGCCTCACCTTATGGCGGCAGCACCAGTGCGCCATGCGGCCTCCTGTCCCATTACTGCAGTGAGCAACCAGACAGTGGGACGGAGTGGGCAGGCTCTTAACTAGGGCTTATTTTGGGGTAGGGCTTATATTAGGTGCACACTAAAAATCACGCTAGGGTTTATTTTCTGGGTCAGTCTTATTTTCGGGGAAGCATGGTGTGTGTGTGTGTGTGTGTGTGTGTGTAAAATCATATATATAAAATCATTTTAGTATATTTAGTATGCTCCTATAGAGTATATTTCCAAGTGCAATTCAATAAACCAATTCTGAAGTCAAAGATGCCAAGGCTGTGCAATGTTCTAATTTAACTATTTCAGTCTGTGCATTGGCTTCAGGAGAGGAATCAGAGTATAGTTTTGGAGTTCCCCTTAAAATCTGCATAAGAAATAAATACAGTTTTAGTTTAAAAATATTTTCATATAAGAACTACATTATTAATCTTCCTGACAACTTTCATTGAATGTAGGAAGAATTACGGTTAAAAGCAAGAAAACAAATAAGGAATTGCCCAAAGAAGTTGTGATTATTTTGATTATATACGAAGTTCTACCATCATAACACCAAGCCATAATGTGCTTCATTACTTTTGGCTTCTTATCATATTCAAACATTTTATACACCATTCATTGCAACTTAGATTTGAAAAACACATGCACTCTGCCTAGTCTTGTTTTTTTTAACAAACTATTCTTTTAAAAAAACTAGTTCACTACAATCTGCTAAGAATTCAATGTCAAATTAAATTACAAAATAGAGCTTTAATGTAAGTGATGGCATACATGTAACACTTGTCTGCAAGTCTTTAAAGCAGTTGTATCTTATCCCAGGATCATGCAGCAATTGTAGAGGGTAGCTTATGATCCCAGGAAATGATGCAGCTGAAGGTTAAAGGTTCAAACTAGATCAAATCACTTTTGCTTAATGCAGCTGTACATAAATTTTAAAGACTCTTAAAAAATTGTGTGATCCAAGCAATAAAGATTATATATATATATTGGGGTTTTATATAGATTCCTCTTGCTTTGCAGCTTGGAGGAAACAGGTAAATTTTGCTAAGTTCTATGGATTCCACTGTAATGTGAATATAAATTCATTTTAATTTATTCTGGGTTAAGGAATTTAAAAAACCTCAAAATTTTAATTGAATTCCATGCATAAAAGCAATTGGACCCTCCTTATCATATTCAATACATATATAAATAATTTAAAAAATGGAAAACAACCCTACAATTTTACCTCCTATCAATAAACATGTATCCTACTGAAAAAAAATTATTAGTCAATTTCTTTATTTTGGAATAACCTTGTTCCTTTTACTGGATTGTTACCAAGTGGAAATTTGCAGATTGGGGAAATGTATTTAATTAGCTATCTATCCCCTTTTCAATATGAATTTATTGGATTATGAGCAGTTATATTAATAAGACAGTGTATGCTTCTTGATTTGAGCAAAACTTTGCAATTATTTATGACCCATGCTTTTTAGAATAGCATAAAAATCCATTTTTTTCCAGAAATTCCAAGTAAAATTTTACCCAATTTCCTGCTAGAGTGCAATGGCCAAAATCAGTTTTTTTTTTAGTAACACATACTTATATATCATGAGGTAAAAGTCTAGTAGTACGTAAAGGGCAGGCCTTGAGAATTTCTTGCAGTGATGTTCAACATGGCTTAGTACAGCTGCACCTCTTTTACTCAAAATCATGCTTGATTCTAGTATTACTCAGATAAAGGCAACTGGCCTAGAGCAGATCTTCAGTCCTGTCTGTTTCTCTCTGTAATCTACCTCTATTGCTTCTAGATGGCTATACTTGGTTTCCTAATCTAATGTGTTCTTGCCTTCAACAGTGAAGCTTTTCAACAGTTTGGTAGCCGGAATGGTGGCATCCTGAAGTAATTGGAAAGTATACTCTTTCTTATATTGTACTGATTTAATTATTACATTGTAGTGTTTCTTATATTGCAAATATAAGACACACAGAAGGAAAGATTGATAAATTGGACCCATCCAGCATTGTAGTTATTTCAACCATTGATTAAATTCTGACTTTCTATGGACCCATTTTCTTTTAGAAAGCATATTTGTCTTTAGAAATATCCTCAGACCAAATGAAGTTGTTATGATCTGTGTGCCATTGTAGACACAGATAAATTGTATATAGCCAGAGTTTCATGCTGAAATATAGACAAAGGGGGGCAGGGCTTCTTCCCCTTAAATAATTACAAGAGAACTTGTCAAACATTTGATCACTTATATAAACAAGAACTCAATCTGTCACTCAGTTGTGTTTTACTAGTACTAGCAACTCCCTGCCTCCGCTGCCAATATATCCTTTATAGTTTGCAGGTATAAAAAAATGATTAATGGACATAAAACAAATTATTTAGTAAAGAATGAATTAGGCCTTCAGATTTAACATGTTTGAATTAATAGTCAAAAGTAAGTCACTTATGATACTTTTAATTTCTATGTTCTCTTCTACTTTTAACTGAATAAATCAAATTATCCTTTTCTTGATGATTGTATTTGGGGAAAGTATGGCTGCTTGGTGTTATCTGTTTATTAATTTAACTATAACAGTATTCTGGTTGCAGAATGCATGATGCACTAAGGAACATGAATATGTGATCATGGCAGAAATTTCTTCTGTATGCTTACTTTATTCCCATAAATACATTTCTACATGCCAGTTTAATTATTTGTCCATCTCTAAGAAGAAAGCACAGTCGGCACCTTGTATTGAGTCTTTAACTTCAAAAAGGAGGATTCTTTTCTAAGATGTTAAGGATGGAATAAGATTAACAGCCTTCATTTAGAGGACATTTTAATTACACTTTTATCAGATAACCTAAATCTCTATATATATATATATATATATATATATATATATATATATATATATATATATATATATATATATATATTCTTTAAAAATGCTAGTTGGGATTATTGCTTAGAATTAAAATTTCAGATAAAATATGGGAAGGAGGAAGGTGGAGAGAGGTTATATAGTGTTATATGATAAAAGAAGACAGCAGTATTTAAAATGAGGTAAGCGTTGGATCGATTTATGATGTATTTTATCTTCTGGAGGAACCCAAGTTTATCATACTGTCATTCACCTTGAAGCATCGGCTATATATCTTTCTATCTCTCACTGTACTTCTGGATTGAAAAGAAAATCTTTGCTAAGCTAAGATGTATGAGCTGGATCAAATGCTAGATTCAGTTTTGCCCTTGATACCCACATAAATTTTCTCTCTAACACCTTCTGTTGGCAAACATTAATCTTGATTAATTGAATTATGCCAATTAGTCATCTTCTTTAATATATCTTTCAAACAAGAAATTGAAAACATATTTTATGAAGAAATACATTCTTATTCTTCCAGCATGTATGGAACAAAACTGGATCACATTCTCTAGATTTTAACTTCCTCAACTTTCTATGCAAGTTACAAGAAAAAGTTATATCAAAATACTTCATTCACAATAAAACCAAAGAGAAAAAAAAATCGGAATCCTCAAAGTGTATTATTTTACAGACCTCTATATCACTGTGGCTTATTTTACTTCATCTTTGCACACTTCTACCATTAGGGGCAACACCCAAGAGATACAACAAGGCTAACTACTAATTGATTTCATATGGCCATGGATGATATGCGCAATTAAGGAGTTGACACAAGAAGTTAACTCAGATGAAAGAAGTCTGCAGGTCAGAGGTATGCTTTGAAAAGATCATCACTCTCTTCTGCTGCCTTAAATGGATGTTATATTGAACAGCAAGGATAAAGAAGGTTCACCAAAGCTTTAGATGGCCATCCAGAGTATTTCTGAATATTGTTGTTAAATGGAGAATGGAGAAATTATTAGACAAATAATCATATTACATGTAATTTTACATACTATGTTCAATTTTAACTTTAAATTAATTCCAATTTAGTTTTACTTGGTTGCACAGTCTTTGGGGAGTACAATTTTCATATGCTGGTCAAAATTCAAGTGTATCTAGGCTTGAAAAGAGAATGTAAAAGATCTTCTCACCAGTTTGGAATAAGGATAGAAGGTAACTTTTTTTAAATCCTCAGATGATAGATTAATAGCTAAAACTTTGACAGCAGAAGCGAGTGCAACCAATTAAGGAAATGATCCACCAAGTGTTATAAGCACATAGATGGCCATTGGCTGCCTAGAGTGCTGAAAAATGGATCAGGCCTGATCTTAGGTTATTAGCCTACTGGCTGTCTGCTGCTACCTGGTCAACAGAGGAAAAAATAGTAATGTAACACCAGTAATGTAACACCAGTGGTTTTCTGTAGAGGCTGATGACATACCAGACACAGAAATGTTTTTGAAGAGACAGGGACATTTGGGAAATCCTGTTAGTTATCATAATAAGTATGTATGACACAAATGACTTAAACACTTGTCACTGTTTTTTAACCTTGATACTTGCTTTTTATGACTTTAGTTAATTCAAGGAACACACTGAAACAAGAACTGGAAAATTCATAGGAGTTTTCATTATCAACTAATCACCAGGACAGGATGTTTGGTAGGCACATTTATTTCTATTTATATTCACATTTCATAAAATCCCAGGGCAAATGTGAGCATTAAAACAATCAACAAAAAATATAATAAAGTCAACAGTCAGAAGCAAGCTCCCCTCCCCTCCCCTCCCCTCTCCTCTCCTCTCCTCTCCTCTCCTCTCCTGTCCTGTCCTGTCCTGTCCTGTCCTTTCCAGAATTATGATTATTGTTTATTTTATCAGCAGAATAATTATGGAAGTTGCTGCCAAAGAGTTCTCCAATAGCGCATCTCTGAAGCAATGCTGGTTAGCCTACATTTTGAATGGATGTTTTTCCTTTGCCCCTATGACTAACCTTCTAATACTCAGTGGCTCTAGTCCAAAGCCTGGTTAATACATCTGTCCAGAACACATGATTATTTGGTCATAACATTTCCCTGGCCACCAGCCAACAAACCAATCAGTATTTCTCTCTCAAAATCATGAAAACTTTTGCTGTGTCAAGCTATTTGAACTTTAGGCAATGTATGTATGAATGTACACATACACCACTAGAAGATTTTAATGTAACCTATTCCTTTCTCATGCAAATTATGTTTGAAAAGTAAAAGGCTTTTTAAAAGTGAGATTGCTGAAGCTGAAATTCTTCCTTATGTTTTTAGCAATTAATGTTTACTGTTGATTCTGTGAAATCCTGTTTGGAGTTACTGTCCAAAACTTTACAATGGATTGCCTGAGCTATTTAAATCAGGACAATTGTATGCAAGGCTGCCTGGGAGAAAATACATGGTTTTCCATAGTCTTTTTGCCATGAAAGTTAAAATTGACTTTTAAGTGACTTTAGCTCACTTTAATGAAATACAGAGTATTGTAACAGTTTGTGAGTTGATGGCTATTTTCAGCATTTTCCACAACATTAGCTGATTATATTAAAATTGATGCTGGTGAAATGGTGAAAAATGCCATGATCCCAAATCCCTAATCGCTACCCACATTGACATCAAACAATACTAATTCAATTGGAGCAACACTAAAATTGTCAGCCACACTGCCACCTGCCACACTTGGGATTTCATCGAAACCTGGCATTCCACAAGCTATTCCATCAACAGACACATTGATCTATGACCAGCATATGAACCCCTCAGAATCCAAATCAGTCGAACATCCATCTGGAGACAACACCAACCCTCAAGCCCCTCTCCTCCCCCCCCAGCAGTTCACCTTCCAATGACCCTGACCTGACATCACCTCCCCATCACAAAACCCATTACCAGCCTCCCACTGATGACTCACTAATTCACACCCTCCAATGACCCTTACCTGAAGTACCTCCCAATCACAAGCTTCTGTCTGATGACTCATACCTTTCCCATCACAAGACGCTCATTTGACACTCGGAAACCTGAAGCCCTTATATAAGTAGAATACTGACACAGATATCCATTAAACACTGCTGAAGATGTTACCTAGCCTGGTAACGAAACGTTTGGAAACCAACCCTCAAATTCATTCATTCATTAAATTCACCATATGACACCAAGTGGAAGATTTTAAAAACGTCACATTTTGCACTACAAATCCAGATTATTCCCATCTTTCATCTCAGATATCCTTCGCTTAATGCGCCCAGAACAAATGGCATGTTACAAATTCTGAAATACTAATGTGACAATACATTTTTCTTGGAGCTTGATATAGTAAAAAGAAATATTTATTGCATGGTTTGTTTTCTCTTTATGCAATGTTGGATTTTACCTAATATGAATCAAAATATCTACAAGATATGTCTAATCACCAGTTGCATAGTGGATGTGCGTGAATTAAATAGCTAATTTAATCTTCCCATTGATATGCATCACAAGAACTGAAGGTAGAAACTGGTTTAGTGAAACTAATCAGGCACTGAATTGCTACATTACCTAAGAGTAGATATCCCTGATTCAGAATGAAGTCATTTTGCAGGTTGTAAATAAACAGATACATAATGTTTATAGACATAATATATGGCTAGCTATATGCTTTTCATAACTGTTTTTTTTATTAATTTACTTCCTCATGAACTGGCTTTCTCCCTTTTAATTTTGATGCCATTTTTCTAATTGTATTTAGTTATTGACCATGTACTATATGATACAATTACTACTCATAAACTTCTCATGGTTCCGATAGATGAAACCAAAAGAAATAAGAACTCTGAGGCATTTGTTTTCCTCAAAGAACAATTTTAATGGCTACATGAACAAAGGTGAAACCAGGCCTGGAAGTCCCCCCCCCCAAAATGTTACAAAGTAAAAGTTATACTTCCCACCCACTAACTGTAATAAATCACATTCTCCAATTAACACCTTTGGCGGGCTCTCTAATGGTAATTCTAGCCAGCCAAACATTTGAGCGATTTGATCTTGGTTCCCATAAGAAAGTTATTGTTTTGCCTGGAACAGAAGAATGCATTTTCCCTTCCCCCAAAGTTGTGGCAAGTGAAAAAACAAAGAAGAAAGATGGCTGTAGGTTTGACAGTTGGGTCACCTAAATGAGAGAGAAATCCTAAAACAAAGAGAAGTCAGAGTCAGTTTTTTAACCTTTTGCCTTACTTGGATGTCTATTATAAAATCTACGTATTAATCTTTCAGCTTTCACATCAGTACTTTTCACCCAAGTGGCTTCTGATAGGGGATAACCCCTTCAATTGTACTAAATATTGCAGCTTCCCTTTATATAGTCTAGAGTCAAGGGTTCGTTTTACTTCATAATGAGTCTCTCCCTCTACAACAAGAGAACTCGGTGCTTGTTTGGGAGGAGGTCTTTTTTTATTAAAATTTTTATTGAGTTTTATAGGGTTGGGGATAGAATAGGATTAGGATTAGGATTAAGGTTTAGGGTGGGGTTGGGATCAGGATTGTGGTGGGGAAGGGGTTGGGGTCAATGTTGGGGTTATCCCAAATAACATTTTCAATCTTTAGCAAACAGACTATTGTCTGGGTACATATGTTTAGTTAACAATAGTTAATATAGTAATAAGTAACTGTAATAAGTGTAATAAGCAATAATTATAAATGTATCAGTTAGTTATTCTTACTAATATATATTCAAAGTAACATATCACATTCATTTCTCACTAGTTTGTTTTCCTAACCATTGGTAAAAATTATCCCATGTTCTAAAGTAAACTGAATCTTCTTTCTCTTTAATCTCTAAGGTCAATCTATCCATTTCTGCACATCCTAAGATTTTCTTAATTAAAACCTCTTCAGTTGGTAAGTTTTCATTTTTCCAATATTGGGCAAATACTATTCTCACTTCTGTCAGTATATGCAATATTAAATATTCATTCTCCTTCTCATGGTTAGGTTATAATATTCCTAACAAAAACAGTTCTGGTTTAAATTCTATCTTTCTTTTAATCATTTTTACAACCATGTATGTATCTTACCCCAAAACCTTTTTGCTTTAGGGCATGTCCACCAGATATGATAGTAAGAACCTGGCCTTTGCTTATATTTCCAGCAATTATTCGAAGTATTTTTAAACATTTTCACTAATCTTACTGGTATCATATGCCATGTGTAAAACATTTTATACAAATTTTCTTTATATGAGACTGCTTTAGTCAATTTGATATTTCTATCCCATAATTTTTGCCAGTCTTCCAAATCTATAGAATATCCAAAAAGTTTTGCCTATGCTATCACTGTTTCTTTTACTTGTTCTTCTTCCATCTTTAAATTTAGCAGAAATCTATAGAGTTTCTTAATCAAGTTTTTATCTGTTTTTAACAATATTTGATCAAATTCTGTCTGTTCTTTATAAAATCCCATTATCTTTACATCTTTTTCATATCTCGTTTGAATTTGTAAATATGGCCACAATGGTAAATCAATATCTTGTCGTTGTAAATCTTATCTGTCTTTCAATTTTCCTTCGTTGTCCAAGATGTCTTTATAAGTCACAACTTTGTCATAGTTAATTAAATTTGGGTAAGCAAAAGCTTCCATTGTTGAAAGCTATTCAGGTAGCTTGATATAAATTTTCTCTTTTATTCTTTCCCATTCTAAAAGAAGAGCATTCCTTATGAAATGGTTTTGAAAATATCTGTGTGTTTTATTCTTCCCGTACCCTAGGAAGGCATGCCAACCAATCTGTAGGTACAATAGTCTTTTGTTTCTCAGCATTATCCATTCTTTAAGCCATGGTAAAATAGCTGCTTGATAATATAATCTCCAGTCCGGGAGTCCAAGTCCTCCACTATCTTTAGCTTCTTGTAGCGTTTTCACTTTAATTCATGCTTTTTCCCCTTGCCAAATAAATCTCAGTATTGTTGCATTTAGGTCATCAAAAAAGACCTTTCCCAGTTTTACAGGAATCATTTGGAATAAGAAGAGTATTTTCGGTAAAATATTCATTTTCACTGTAGCTATTCTTCCTAGCAATGACAGTTGAAGATTTTTCCACTTTTCCAAGTCCAGTTTTATTGTTTTAACAATCTTTCATAGTTGTCTTCTTTTAATGTTGCACATCTTGTTGTTAGGTAGATTCCTAAGTATTTAACTTTTTTAACTATTTGCAGATTTGTCTTTTTTGTAAGTTGACTTTTCTGTTTATATGTTAAGTTCTTTGTTAATACTTTAGTCTTTTCTTTATTTATTTTCAAACCTGCCAGTTCTCCAAACTTTTCTATTCTCTCCGACAATTTAGTAGTTGTTTCAGGTGGCTCCTCCAAGATAAAAATCAAGTCATCCGCAAGGGCTTGTAATTTATATTTTTGATCTTTTATCTCCAATCCTTTAATTTCTATATCTTGTCTAATCTTTCTAGTCAGTACTTCCAATGTTAGTATAAATAACAATGGGGATAATGGACATCCTGTCTTGTACCTTTTTTGATATCAAAATTTTCCGTGTAGTCTCCATTTAAGATTATTCTAGCCGTTTGTTTATGGTAGATTGTTTGAATTGCATTTATAAAGTTTTTCCCAAAGTCCATTTCCACCAACTGCTGGAACATACATTGCCAGTTCAGATTATCAAACACTTTTTGTGCATCAAGAAATATTAATGCCATCTGTTTCCCTGGATGATTTTCATAATACTCTAAAACATCCAAAATCATTCTTATTTTTTATCTGTCTTTTAGGTAGGAAGCCATTTTGATCTGTATGTATAAATTCAGTCAAGAATTTCTTAATTCTTTCTGCCATTATCAAAGCAAAGATTTTATAATTCACATTTAATAACAATATTGGTCTATAGTTTTTTATTTGTGTAAGGTCAGTATCTTCTTTAGGTATTAAGGTAATATTAGCTTCAGTCCACAATTTTGGTATTTTAGTCTCCAACAAGATTTCATTACACAGTTCTTTCAACATCAGACTTAATACATCTTGTAATGCCATATAAAATTCTGCGGGAAGTCCATCTGGACCTGGAGTCTTATCTCTTTTTTTTTACTTTTTATGGCTTCTATAATCTCCATCATTGATATTTTTCCATTTAGTATATTTCGAATATTCTCTGGGATTTTTGGCAAGTCAGCTTTTTTAAAGTACAACTGTATTTTTTCTGTTGCATCATTTTGGAGCTGTAATTCTCCTTTTG